GGGTGCGCTCGTCCCTTTTTTTAAAAGTTGTGTGAGAGGGTTTGTTTATGCGTCTCGTGTGTGTTGAGTTGTATTTATTTCTTATTTTGGGTTTTTTCTATGCGTGTAGGCTCTCAGGTCTGCAGTCATTCAGCAGAAGCTCCTCATATCTCCTTTTCTCTGTTGGTTTTGCGTCGTTGCTCCTTTACGCATGGGAGCCATTTCCCAATCAATCAATCAATCAATCAATCAATCAATAGGCTCCTTCCATCTCCCAGCTTCCAATCAATGAACAGACATAGAAGCAGTTCAACTTAGAATTTATTTAGATGTTTGTTTGTTGAAAAAAAAGGGATCAAGGTGAATGTTCATTTTACACAGTAAGGACAATCCACGGACACATCTCAGATGGAAAAAGTCTGCATAACTTGACACAAATAACACAATAACACTCTTAACAAGTAAGAGTCCACTCAAGACTGGACCTTAAAGTAATCAAAGTGACATTCTTTAAGCATGTAAGTAGAATAACGTCCATAAATCCTTCTCAAAGTATATTCAATCCAGTTTTCTAAACATCAAAGTGTGTCTATTGTGACAATACGTTTCAAATAAACTGAAACATTGCTGTATTTTTTTTTAAAGGAGCAGGTGTCATTTGGAGGATTTATGGATAAAGATCATTCTTTGTCAATTCACTTAAAAATGAGTTCAACAATAATGATTTAATCATGACTTAAACACATTATTTAAGTGGAAGAGAAGAGTTTCTTCACTTTTAAAGACCAGCTTTTGAGTCTTTTTGTCACCGTTGCACTCCAGCTCATCTAGAGTCTGCGAGTAAACGGCTTTAATTCTGGCTTCAAACGAAACATAAGCTCCATTATTGAAAACTCAAGGCAAGCTGCTCTAAAGGTCCCTGTTCCACTCAAATTTGGACTTTGACTGAGTTTGTCTTTTTGAATCCATTCATTGGCGATTTTGCTGGTAAATATGAGGGATTGTTTTCCCTCAGTGGGGCTGTTCTTCAGCGGGAAGTTGGTGGTTTGATTCCCCAGTGTCACAGCTCTGACACTGACCCCACACTGGCTCCCATCACCCTCACAGCCTGTGGGTCAGCGGGGTGTGTGGTCAGAAACACACACTATGTGACTGTGGCTAGCAGGGTGGTCAACTAAATAGCTCTAAAACAATATCCCCAAATGTTAAAATATATAGTAATATGATTTTAACATGTTCCAACAGAGGTGAGGATAGAAGGTGAAAACTGATAAATACACTTTGTTGGGTAGAAAGCAAAAAGGTTTAAGTCTGTGAATCCAGTAATAACTTGATTATTAACCAGCCTCAGAATATCTAAGTCATATAGGACTCCCTAATCATTTGTATCTGGGGCTAAACGGTTTCCCCATCAGTGTGGAACTGATGGTTTGATCTGTAAAAGAGCCGCTACGCCATCTACTGGCAGAACAGTGGAACTGCCCTCAGAAAAACAGAGTGGTTCCACCAGGCACATATTTCTGAAATGTAAATATATACAAAAAAAGCAGAGAAAACCATTAAGAGGTAAATATACTGGTTTATTTCTCATCCAATATTTAAATGACCATAAATAAAACAGTTACCTTCTTGATCCGTTCCATTAGACTTAGAACAATCATAGTTCTTCCCTCCAGTTTATTCCTTTATTGTGGAGGCATAAATTGTCCTTTTCTTTTCTCTGGTCGTTTAGCCCTTTACCTGTGGTTCTGGGTATAAAGCGAGTGGCTTGATAATCAAACTCTTCAAACCTTCTAAAGAAAAGGTCATCTTATCATTGCAAAAACTCTTGAATGGGAGGAGCTGGGATTGGGCCAAGATGTTTTCAGATTGAGGAAATATTTTTTTCTTCTCCAATTCAGCCCTTTGGGAACCTGCTGCTAATCTTTCCCTTTATTACCTATTAGAAAAGATCAGACTCTATCAGAGAGCCAATAAGTGTAAGGAACAACCAACCTCATGTTGATTTATGCACAGCAGCACATTTCAGTAATCCCACACACCTCAAACAAGTCAAACATAATCCCAGAGCAGATCTACTTTTAGATGTGGACACAGTAGAAGGTGCTGTGTTTCTGATATGTGCACACACCATGAAGTTCAGTCTAGAACCATATCCAATAAGATGAGATCCCACTCTCCAGGGAAGGCAATAGATTGTATAGTTATCTTCAAGACAGAGCAAAATCACTACCCTTAAACTATACAAACTACTACCTCACACTGTGAGAGCAGCTGGAGCAACATCTGGGTCCATTAAGAGACTGTTGTTGAGGAGAAGAGCAACCAGTGTCCATGAAGAGAGACGCGGGGATGCGTGTGTTGCACTTTGAGAAAGACAGTAGGTTGGATAGTTATCTCCCAGTGTGGGTGTGATCCTAAAACTATACAACCTACTACCTCATCCCACAGAACAAACCAGAGGGCGGCTTCAGGAGGAGCTCCCACAGAGCGGAGGAAACCATCCCGCTGGGTCCAGACCGGGCGGGGGGGCGGGCGGCTGGAAGGGAAAGAGTTTGGGTCAGTACAGATTAGGGTTGTCAAAAGTATCGATACTCAAAAAAGTATCGATACTAAAATGTTGTATCCGGATACGATACTCATTTTCAAAAGTATCGATACCACCGTGCGAGTCCGCGCGAGCACGCGCGACGCTGACCTGCCGTCGCTGCGCCCCTTCTCTCTGATTTATTTACGTTGTTTATGATCATTAACAAGTTGTTAGCCTTGAACTGCTAGCTTCGGTTAATGGCTAATAATAACGTGCTACCATTAATCAAGTACATATCCGACTCCGCCCACATCGAAGTCGGCCATTATAGTTACATTAACAATAGGAAGATTCCAGGCAAGAAAATCCTAATTGCCACATGGCAATATAGAGATTCATTTAAAAATTGTGAAATTAATCCTTCAAACACTTAATTAAACTCTATGCATATTATTATGTTAAAATAGTGGATGTTAAATAGGTTTGTACAATAAATCCAAACAAGTTTAACCCAAAAATATTTATTTCTCACAATTATGAAGGGTGGAGGGTTAGGGTCAGGGTTAGGGTTAGGGTTAGGGTTATTAATGCGGGCCACCAGTCACAATAACATTAGTAACAGGTCAGTGTGAAATGAAAGACACTAACCTGTCAAAATTCATTTAAATTTTGGGGTCTTTTTTTAATCCTTGTGGTATCGAAAATGGTATCGAGTATCGAGTATTTTCCTGAGTATCGGTATCCAGTTGAAAATTTTAGTATCGTGACAACCCTAGTACAGATGACAAAGTGGCCTGAGTTAAAATCCACAGCAGCAGCATAAAGATCAATTTCAGTCGTTTAACACTTTTTGTGTGGTCTCATTAGAGAGCCGGTACAGATGTGCCTCTGTAGGATCAATTCATGGCCTCTGTGATGCTTTTATCACTATTATTTCACATATTTGAAGAAAAATTTCAGACCGAATTCCTGACATTTTCTGATGCAGGTCTTAATCCTTACCATAAGAACATGTGAGGGCATGGGGGGGGGGGGGGCATTATGTGGTATCCAGCAGCAGTGTTGGCAAGAAAACGTGTTGCTGGCTTTAAAGGGAAACCATAAGGTCAACCAAGGAAGCCGTCATGGCAAAACAGTTTAGTGGGTATCTACAAGAGGAACGAAGATATCTGGGATATGACGTATCAGGGAGTTGTCATTCAGTCAGTTATCATTTACTGATATGGAGCATCATCAATGTCATCTCCGACATTTGCTCTCATGCTATTCAAATCTGTCTTTAAACCCTGCAAACATGCGCCTATTTAAAAAAAAAAAAAAAACATTTCCATTTTGTCATATTTTGATAAAAAAATGAAATAATCAGTTCATTGAAAGCTGGCTTCAAAAGCAGATCCCGTCTCATACTAAGAAGTAATGGCTTACGTTTTGACCCGAGGTTATCGGCAGAGGCACAAGGGTAGTATGACACAACATAGTCCATTTCATCACCATTAGCCATCAGATGGACAATAACACTGACCTCTGATCAGCTCTGAGAACAGACCAATCAACAGTCCTCTTTAGCCCCAGTCACACAAGCATGACATCCTAGAAATCTGGAGGCAAATTAATGTCAGTGTCATGTGTGACACAATCCCCTGTGACTCTTCTTTATATGGGCAGAGGAGTTTCACAGAGAAGAGGCTTTTTTTTTTTTTTAAACCAAAAGACTGAAAACTATTGAGCTGTA